ATCAAAAAGCATTAACTCAGACCCACTGATGAACCTTACAAACTTTGATAATTTCTGAGGCGTGTCAAGGCCCTTAATATACCGTTTGAGAAACTTAAGGCTATCCCTTTCCCCATCACTCTCAGGGTTTGCCTCTAGGCAACTAAGGATTTTGCTTGTGGATGGTATTAACAATTCATACCTTTTGGAAATTGCTGCAAAATCAGGAAAACTAGGAAGAAGTGTAGAAACTATATCCTTCCAGCAGTCTGTAATATACTGTGGCTTCTGCAGCAGCTCCTTATGGGCTATTTCTTCAATAACTTGACTAACATTCTCGGAATTTACCATAATTCGACAGTCATAGTTACTAAAAACTTCTAAAAGCTGGGACATTTCATCTTCATCATCCCACTTCATGTCACCAGCGAGGCACTTGTCAATCAAACATTTTTCATCTACTGAAATGTAATTTCTAAAGGATTGAGTCACCATAGCACTATTTACTGAAGATTCCCCCCAAGAAAGACAAGCAAGGAACGTTTGAGACAGAAGGACTGGTAGGTATTGACATGTTAAATATCCTTTCACCAAAATTCTGCCAACAGCAACCCATTCATCCCTTTGATAGTCATGTCTTACAAATGGTACCCGCTCATTTTCTCCAACAAAAAAGGAATCATATGTTTCTTTCCGAAAGAGAGAAAACCTAAGCAACCCAACACCTGTGCCCACTTCTTCAACTCCCCTAGAGTCAATAACAATTATCTCTATGTCGTGACTCATAATTAATGGATGTCGGAATATGTCAATCAAATCCTTCTTAATATTTAGCCTGTGTACTTGGATGATACGTTTTGGCGGCAGTTGAGATACAGGTACTGATACAGACACAGGTACATGCTCAGATACATAAACAATATCAGAGTCGCTGCCGGTCTCTATATCATCTAAATCTGTAATTTGATGTGATGTTTCTGCTTCAGTTGGCAATGGTACACAATAAGGTTGTGCAACATCCTAGCAGGGGTGGGGCACCACAGCTTCATCTGGCCTCCCATCACTCTCCCAAATGAAAGCAACACAGAGCCTCTTTGTGCTCCACTAACATTAAAAGGAAGTAATAACTTGTCATAAACCATAAAAAACAAAGTGAACTAAGTGGCAATGATGTAACAGACTATGAAGGGTTCACCTTTGTACAAATATACAAAGTCACATGGAGTTGCAAAATACCACATCAATTCATGTCTCGTCCTCCTAAACGATTGAATGAAGATCTGAGCCAAGAAATAAATAAATAAACAAACATTAAAATAAAAAAATACACAAATCTATTTGGAGACAAACTGGATAGTATTTCCAACACAAAGCCATTGTCAGGGCCACTAGTATGAGCTGGGAAGCCAGTCTATCATATATAAGGTTATCCGTCTTCATTGGGAAGCTACCCTTGCAGTAAGTCAAAAAAGCTAGAGGAAATCTATACAGCTTTTATTTTGCTCAATGCAAAAGTTCAGAAGAAAAAGTTCACCTTGGACTGTCATCTAATATTGAATTCTCTGGCTCCTCTTCGGTTTCACCATCGTCTTCAGACTCCAAAGGGACCAGTGATCTAACATAAACAGCTCCTTCACCAGCCTTCCTGGTCACTCTTTCTGCATCCAGAGTTATGCATTCAGCCAGCTTAGGAGTTATTAGCTTTCCATAGCATGGCTAGGTTAAGAAAAACACACATTACTTGCACGCTTCTTGCAAAAGTCAAGGGTAAATTCAATGAAAGAGTAGTTAAGTTAAGTTTATGTCACAAGTAAGGAGAAAGGGGTGGGAGCGGGGCAGTACCAGAGCAAGTCTAAAATAACCCAACAAATTCTGCAAAAAAATTCGAAGTCCATTACTCGCGTCACCGCAGGTATCCTCTTATGTGGTTAGATGTTTGGCAAAATAGTATAAATGCGTATTTAAAAATAGTGCAGCCACACCAAATGTATAAACGGAACAGCAATGATATTATCATTAATGCATTAAACGTAGAACAATGCTTAAGCTTACTTCTATCACTACACAAAGTTACTCACCTTGACATACTGAATTAGCAAAAGCTCTGGAAATCGATTCAATATAGCAGCTTTGAGGGAATGTGCGTCCCAGCTCTTGTCAAAGGGAAACTCGAGGCAGACAAGTTCTCTCTCTTCTAACTGAAGTCGGGTTGTCTGTGTAGGTACTTTGTTCATCTGGGGACTGGGAATAAGGACTAGATTCTTGTAAAGAAGTATCTTGGATGAGCGGCCTTTGGTCGCCTTAATGGTCTGCTTTGACCTTGCTGGTCTTCTACTAGTGCTTTTCCCACTAGCTCGGTTCGAACCAATTGTCGGAAAGAGAGTGGGAAGCCGAGCTTGGATAGAACTGTTAGAGTTTGGCGACGTCGAGGACTGAATGGCACGTTCGTTCGACTATAGTTCCTCGTTGTTTACCTTACGATCTCCGTTGTTCGGCTGACTCACAGAGATTGCCGTTGAATTCATCCGAGGTATTACATTTCTCTTAAAACCAGGTCTCAAATTACTTGAAATCTCAAAGCATCCGCGGCAGCACGACAAGCAGTCGATAGCTCTTCCTCCGTGTAGCCGAAAGCCAAAATAGCGGAATGGAAAAAAGATAGTGCTTGCGGTCATGTGATGACGTTTACATACTAATTAGAAAGAAAATAAAAAATCCCACTCGGAACGAAAAAAAACATGGATTAAATATAAAAAATATAGAACGCATACAAAATGAAGAGAAGAAATAGAAAATAGATGAGCTAAACACGTATATGTGAATTGATACGAAGAGATTTTCAAGTATATAGAAGGAAAACGGAAAATAAAGAAGTAAAATAAAAAATATACAGAAAGGAAATAAAAAATATGACAAAGAAATGTAATGGATGTATCGTATATTAAGGTTGTTTGAATATCGACTGGAAAGGCGCGCCATATAGCTCAATTGGTAGAGCGCCCCACTAGTATGCAGAGGTCAGTGGTTCCAATCCCGTACAGGCCTGACTTTTTTCAGATCTGATTTTCGCTATTGCATAAATAGCGCTCTCTACTGCGAGGATCGTGCATCATACGTATCTATAACCGCAGTTCAAAATATATCAACTTCATATATTCATCGGTATCTGATTTATCACTTTCACGGGTTTATTTCGAATCAACTTAACGGCCTGCTCCCAGTTGGCTTGTTAGCTCAATTGGTAGGGCACTGCACTAGTATCGCAGAGGTCAGTGGTTCAAATCCCTTACAGTCCTGATCTTTTTAGGTCTGATTTTCGCTATTGCATAAATAGCGCTCTCTACTGTGAGGATCGTGCTTCATACGTAACTATAACCGCAGTTCAAAATATATGAACTTCATATAGTCATCGTACCTACCGAGGTATGTTAACAACTACTAGCTTGCACCTCAAAATCTAGATGTTTCAAATGTAATAAATAAACCACATTGTTTGCCAGGAAGAGGCCAAAGGAAAACAAAAATGAGGCATACAGTCCCGAACAAGCTAAAGGGAACATGACAGTCACCTATTTTATACCATGCAAATTTGTAAAAATAATAAAATAAACTAATTTATTAATCATTTCTGAGCAATTAATAAAGCAACAAGGCTATCTCAAAGGATTGACTTTGATCTTTAATCAACACATACCTTTGATATAGGGATTCCCGTTTGAGTCATCACCTAGTCTGAGTGTTGTTCTTTTTTTACCTTTCCCTGTAGGACATGGCTCCAACAGATCAAAGATTGTTTCATTGTAGATTTCGGCGAAAGAAACCCAAACAGAGAATTTAACTGGTCCTTGCGTATCTACATTGATTGTGGTGTCATCTGCAACCCTGGAGACATTCTCCTTATTATCAGTGGAAGACGAGAGTAACGCACTCTTGAAATTATTCTCCTTCTGTTCCTCGTCATCTGTAAGCCTAATAATATCTGTGAAGAATCTTGGTTTGAGGTTCATTCTCTCATAACTCTTTCCCGCTATACTGTTGAACAGCACATCGAGACTTCGAGGTAGAATCCCACCATCTTTGGGGGTTCCCTGAATTGTGTAAGTCTAAAAACACACCGTGAACAAAGATGTTTTAAAGTTAATGAACAACTGAACTAAAATATAATAATCACCGGGTAAATGACATCGGAACAACACCCAACCAAGAAAAAAGTAATAATTTTATTCTTACAGCTTATCATCATGAATCCAATAGCATTCGAGAGAAGATAAGGAAGTTACAGCTCACTGAACGCGCAGTTACAAATGTAAAAAACAAAACAGAAAGCTTGCTTACCTTTCCCGAGTTTGCCGCCCCGTAGGTGAAAACCAAACAATTTTGTCCGTTTATAAAGTCCGTCACAAGAGGAAGAGTTGTTTCATCGAAGAACTCTTTCTGCTTTGTATCCTCACTAAACACATTTGTGAACAAAAATCGGTGCGAAATCTCACCGCCAGTGCGAGTGCTGTTTTTGCATACGAACGATTCCTTTGGCGCGTTCATCAAAACCGCGGTACGGCTTTCTCTCTCTACGCATTGTTGATCTTCGTTTGCCTCGAGTTCTTCGCTACTAAATGGCCGTGCTCGTAAATAAACCTTCATGCATTCTCTCCCAAAAGTTCCGGAAGAGGTCTTTTCTTTTGCGACAACGTCAAATTCATCGAAGACATACTTGCGACCGTCGGCATCATCGTCACGGATAGGATGGTCGATCTGACTATCATCAGGCTCTTCTTCGCCGTCCGAAAGACAACTACGTGGATGCTCAGCCATTTCGTTCGATGAAACAAATATTTTCAACGAATACAATCGGTAGATCTCTCAACATTTACCAAACAAATCTGGACGAACCATTCCTTCCTAAAAACACGAGAAGAAACAGTTTTAAACTTGCCACTCGTTGATTTAACTTTCTTCTGATTGGTCCGTCAGGGAATGCCGCTGATCATATTGAATCGTGGGCAAGTTCGTTCTTCTGGCGCATAACTGGGATGAAAAACGTCTGCGCGTGTGCCAGAGGCCCGCGGTAAGAAACGAGGGTTCAAACGCGCGCTTACTCAAACTCAATAAATTTTTACGAGAAATGAACAGCCATTACAAAATGTAGCCACGAGAGTTATTTTTTTGTCAGTTCTGTCGTTCGTCTTTGTTAATTGTAATTAGTGTAAATAGTTCTCGTCTCGGTAGTTCAGTTCTGTATTTATTAGTTTGTATTTTTTCGTGCTGTCAAAATGTAAATTAATTTTGTCAGCGTTGTTTCATGTAATCGCCTTTGAGTATTGTGTAGCCTTGTTTAGTCTATTGTTTTAGCCTTTATCCGCTATATAACATCGTAGTTGTAATTTT